CCCCAAAACCCCAAAACCCCAAAACCCCAGAGGGAGAAAACTTGATTGAGTTTTTCAAATTAAATCATTGTTTCTGAATCTTATAAATAAGAATCTGAACTTTCATCTAAATCTCAAGATTCAACATCTTCATTCAAATAAAATTTGTTTATCCTAATTTTAAAAAACATTACCTTAAGATAATTCTATTGAGTTCTCATCCTCATCAACAAATGACACATCTAAACATAATCAATCTTTGATTACGGTCTAAAAATTAACCTTTAACTTCATTACCGTCTTCTACTGTAATTTCTTCAAAGGCTTCATCAATTAGCTCTTTCTCTTTGTGTGTCATAGTGAAGAAACAAAAGTTTATTTCCTCACTAATTTTTTTCTTAAGGTTTAAAATGGAATCAAGGAAAGGAGTTATTGGAGGATAGTCATCGCTCCCACAGAGTGTGAGTCCTTTGAGTCGATCTGGGATGCAGTTTTGTAGAAAGTTGGTCAGAGCATCTATAGGGAGTTTGAAGAGATTATAAAGGTTTAGAGTTAGATAAATTAGTTTTAAAGATCGTTTGGTTGCAAATTCAACATATTTATACTTTTTATTTTTAACATATGCTCGAATTGTAGTGGATTATGAATATTTTGTTATTTTTTAATTTAATCAACAAGTTTATAGATTTGTGAAAAGCTTTAGAACTATTTCTACATTTTATAACTGAGAATTACGTTATAGTAAAGAGTCAATTTCAATAAAATGTAAAACAATTTTTATTGATTGCTAACCGCAAATTATTAACTATAATAACACTTGGCTTCTGGAATGATAAAAGTATTATTTGGAATAAGATGTGGAAAAGAAATCTTCTAAATCTTATGAAGAAATATCTGCTTTTTGTTTTTAGATTAAAACAAAATAGATTTGTGTCATATTGGGTCGATTAATCGGAATGATATCTATTTTATATAAATTTTTGACTGTCTACAGAGATGAACAGGTTATTGGCTTATAGTTCAATAATCAAAACGTAAGAATAAAATTTTAAAACTGTCTCCCAATATTGAATATTTTAGTGATGCTTTAATGTTTAATACACTGTTCGAATAAAGAGCAATTAATCTTTATGAAAGACTCTATTCTAGTAAAGTATTACATTTTATGATATAAACATTACCAAATATGAAATCAAATCACAAGCAGATCTAAGAATGTGAACTTTCAATGGTTTGTTTGCAAATTTATGACTCCTGTGAAGTTTAAATATTCAAATAGATTTGTCAAGCATAAATTATGGAATGAAAATAAATTATCATTTATTTTATACCAACAGATTTTCATTTAAAAGTCATAATTTCACTCGCCAACACTTTACACAAACTAAACATCTATTCAAATCATTTGAATCCGTTTTAAACCCTTATTTAACTCTCGAGTCATTTTCAGCATCATTATCTTGTGTCCCAAGCTTTCGGAGATTCAAATAAAGGTTTTGGGAATTCGGGATAACATAAATTAACCTGTTTAACTTCATGTTTTGATTACTTAATTTTAGATTGATTGAGGATTTAGAAAGTAAAATAATTTTAATATCTTAATCCTCTACCCAAAATACAATACAAATAAAATAATACTTAAGGAAAAATCATTAAAACTAGTTTTATCAAACACTCTAAAACCAAAATTAGAAGATTCTAAATAATTTAATTACAAATTCAAAGGAAACTTCTTTGACATTTCCTTCTCTAATAAACTTATAAACTAAATTGATCTTTCTGGTTCCATTTAGTAGCACTCACTTACCAACTTCAATTCCATCAAGACCATTCAATGTTATCTCCTTTCAATGGGAAACAAATCTTTTGTCCAGCACCTTGACCACTTTCCTGTACACATCCAAACTAAGGTCAAGCACAATATGATTCCGACAAACTATTCGTTCTAAGAATTCGATGGCTACAGATAAGGAAAGACGTACACACGGGGTCTGGGGATTCTTTGAGGGAAGGGTAAGTCTGAACATACGTTTTAGTAAGCATTCTGGTCTATAGAATATTAAAGAGTTGTTACTAAGTGAGAATTTCCTTCTGTTATTGCCTCTTTTATGTAGTCTAATTTTTGTTTTATTCCTAGATATCAGATTAATTAATTAATGAAATTGTGAGGTAAAGAAAATATTATAATTACTTTTGGATTCTTTTGAGCTTTTAGGATTATTATTATCTTCAGAAATTTCTTCTAATTTGTCTAAACTCTCTTTTTGGTTCGTGGTTTGAGTGACCTTGATCCAGTCAAGATCCTTGCCCATATTTTCAAGATTTTCACAAACAATTTGATGAAATTCCGAACCCTGCTCTTCGAGCCTTTTGTATGATTTCTGAATGTTTTTGTTTGCTTGAGATTGAGATTCATCAAGCCCATCAATTTTCTAATCAAGAGTTTAATAAAACAAAAATATTTATTATCATAAAACTTCGATAAATTAACAAATGGACAATTAAGTATTCTAGAGGGGTAAAATAAAAAAGTCTGTAATTTCTTAATTTGTCAATGAAGTCTTTGAATATTTATAAAAAGACATAATACATTTTATCTTGCCAATAATTTTCGCTATTATAACCGTAAACACATAAAGAGGTTTCGAGGAATGATTCCCATCAAGCATGAGCATCCTAGTTAAAGTCGGACTCATTATGACTAAGAAATTCTTTAGCTTTCAAATTTGCCTCACTAATAAAGAAATGTTTATACACAGCACAACTAAGAATGGGGAATCAAACATTGGCTCAAAATCATTTGAATTAAACTCTTATTATCAATCTTGTCCCATCCGAAAATGTCTCCAACTTATGGCTTTTCTTATCAATCAAAATTTTATTAACAACTTATTGAACTAACATATTATTTTCATAATGCTTTTCTAAATACTCTAACTCTAAAGTTATGGAAATCTTATGAATGCTTTCTTTTGACAAAAATAGTTTCACCCTCGAAATAGGAACAAGCCTTCAGCATTATTAATTCTAAATAATTTCTTCCGCAGTTGATTTAACTCTGAAATAATTGGATAACCTCACTAATTCATTCAAATCATCTTATTCTTCAAATTTTAAATTAGAAATGTTTCACAGTGTCTAATTTTGCACATGGTTGGAGAAATTTTAACTAGTCTAAAGTTTCAAGGACGGTTAAAACTACTGAATATTTAATTAAACCTAATAAAATAGAGCTTAATCAATGTAAAATTATCAAAAGCTGCAAATCAGTTTGTTAGTTTTCTAGATGAACTTTGGTATCGAAATTGAAACTTAAAGTGTATTAGAACTAAAATTTTCACTAAGATTTTACTGCTAAAATCTTCATTTCTTAAAACTTATGGAAATTCTAAAATCAACTTTAATAAATTAAACAATCAGAAACATTTTTAATCTTTACGACGTCAAAACACGGAATTATGCTCAATACCTGCTGATAAAGCGAATACAATGTTGGTCAGCAAACAATGAGTTTTGGAAGTACGAGTTTGAGTAGCTCTTAATTTAAAAATATTTCATCTACACTCTAATGTATTCAGGACGAGAATAACTGTCTATTCAAAAGCCAAAATTCTAGGATGATTATTAAAAGAAAGAAAACTTTGATTACAATGTTCACTCTCACCAGCAATTCTAATTTTAGTGGACAAAATAAACTCTGCTGTCTTACATCAAGGAAAAGCATCAAAAATCGAAGAATTTGGAAAACTTGATTATGGAGCTAGTACAATAACTTCAGATAAAACAACTTCAGCCTACTAAGTCTACAAGATGGTTCTTCATAAGTTTATTAGCAGTCTTGGCCTCCATGCGGTTTGAAATTCTTTCACAAATAAATATTGAAATTGGGAGACACTCTCAATATTATTTGGCTTTCCTAATTCCAATTCCTAAAGGACTAACTGGTTTTTTGGAGTTGCAATATACAGTAAAATATAGCTTTGGATATATTAGAAGTTAGTATTCCAGCATTGCATTTTTGTTCCAAGGATTCCACTATTTACTCTCAGGTAGTCTCACTTTAAGCTTTGTGTTATAGATTTTCGAGAAAGTAGATATTCGGTAAAACTATGCAATTAATAATCATATTAGGTTTTGTATGATGTGTATTCAAATTTGCAAATCTGAAGAGAACTTTGTATATATTTTACTAAAGAGGAGCATTTGGGAAGAAAGAGGAGCCAGAATTAAGTAAACTCAAAACAAAGGAATATTCAAATTTAGAAATCGTAGGGCTCAAATAATTTCTTTGACTTCACATTACATTTGAAATCTCAGTTTTCAAGTCTTCGTAGTTTGTCTTCAAAGCAGCATAATTGGTCTTCATATCTTCAATCCGAGCTTGCTTTTCTTCTGTCTGTGTTTCCAGTTGTTCAGCTCTGTGCTTAGTGGAGTCCAATTCTTCTTGTAGTTGATCCCTTTGACTGTCAATTTCAGAATTATGCTTGGATAGTCTTTCGATCTTGGTGTTGAGATCTGTTTCAACCTGGAGTCTCTCTCTTCTGACTTTATCCAAAGTTACCTTGAGGCGAATGTTCTGGTTTAGAACTGAGTCTTGCTCATCAATTCCTTTGACTCTAAGTCTGATGCTTTCAGAGTTCTTAAACAGAAGCATTCTATACTTAACAAGGAAATATACTCAGTAAGTATCTGGCTTTGCTTCCATTCTTGTTTGAGTTGCTCTACACAAGATTAGATTAGATTTTTCCAAAAGGGATGCACAAAGAAGCAACAAACTTACCGATCTGAGGTTTGATGTCTTCCATTTTTGACCAAAACTTTTTGGTAATGAGATTTTGGAAGGCTTCTCTTAACTCGGTAACTCTGACCTTGAAGTCTTTGAAAGATTCCATCAAGTGTTCCCACTTATACTGGAGGGTGGGCTTATGTACAAGTAGCAATTCTAAAGTTAACTTTGTGCATACCTATTGTCTCTATGTTGCATTCAACTATACATGCAAACAATTAGAAAGTTGGCAATGGTTTCGAGTAAAGCATTTCTTTAGAGGCAGAAAAGTCAATGATGGAATCCGAGAACAAAAGCCAAAGCTCTATCCAATCAGAAGTCTAGATAGTTCTCATAAGTTAGAAGCAAGTAAAGCTAAACTGGTACAAGTTTTGGGTGACTGAATCATTGGTGGAAAATTAACAGCTATCATTCAAAGTATAGCTTCACAAATATCACCTTCAAATGGAAAGAAACTTAGCATAATATTCAAATGTTGGTGAAGACTAAAGTGTATTCAAGTGTCTAAGTTAAGGTAGCCCAGAGTCTATGATGATAATAATCAGACTCCATTATCTTGGCACAAATAAGTAGGACTGATAGCAACTTGATGCTCTCACTTTTTGCTCATGGTTTATTTTACTATTGGGTATCAAATTGTCAAACTATTTTGAAAAATAGTCAATTGGTTTTAGGTTTAATGTAAAAGTAGCACTCCAGAATATTATCCATCAATTTCATAATCAAAAGCAAAACAAGCTAAAATTTAGGCTAAACTAATGCCAATCCAAAGCATCTAACGAGCTCAGGAGGACTTTGGAGAACTGTGGTTTTAAGACTCCCACCCTCAGTGCTTTTCTGTCCCTTCTCCTCTAGTAGGAGCCAATGCAGCCTAGCCTCCAGATTACCTATCTGCAAAGAACAGTTGATTTCATGTGGAACAGCAAGGGGTTTGACTTCATGGTCTGAGTAGGTGATCTCTTTGCACTCTCCGCAGATGTACTCGCTGGAGTAGACCACGTAGTACTTCACTGGACTCTGACAGCGGAGCATGTCGCACTTCAGCTGCTTGAAAATGTTCATTTTAATTAATTTCTTCAGATTTACTCCTTTTATTGGGGTTTTGGGGTTTTGGGGTTTTGGGG